ATTGGATGGAGAATATTGGTTGGATGGAGATTGTAGGTTGGATGGAGATTGTAGGTTGGATGGAGAATATGGGTTGGATGGAGAATATGGGTTGGATGGAGAATGTAGGTTGAATGGAGAATGTGGGTTGAAAAGAGAATGTGCTTTGGATAGAGAAACAGGGCTGGATAAAGAAAGTGGGTTGGACGGTAAATTTCTCCCAGCATCCCAGCTAGCGAATAGAGAATGTGGGTTGGATGAAGAATGTGGGTTGGACCGAGAATGTGGGTTGGATGGAGAATGTAGGTTGGATGGAGAATGTAGGTTGGATGGAGAATGTAGGTTGGATGGAGAATGTAGGTTAGATGGAGAATGTAGGTTGGATGGAGAATGTGGGTTGGATGGAGAATGTGGGTTGAATAGAGAATGTGGGTTGGATAGAGACTGTGGGTTGGATAAAGAAAGTGGGTTGGATGGGGAATTTCTCCCAACATCCCAGCTAGTGAATATTTTCCCTACCTCTATTCTGTAGGTCTTGCTATTGCCAGATGGGTTAAGACAATCTAAAAATACATCATCTTTCTGGATTTGATAGATCTTATTACCGATGACTTCTAGCAACCTGTTAAAAAGAGATCACATACAATCTAAATCTGACATATCATACCAATTATTTTCATGCAGTCAGGTTTCATTTAATGATAAATACAAAAAATCATTTGTATTTTTAGCAAAATTTAATTGAAATCCCACTCAATACTGAGCAACTTTGCCAAAAATCAAATATGAAAGTTACAGTGTTTGCATGGTATACTCATCAACATAAAAGTGTGCAAAATCATGTACTAACATTTTGGTAGGAAAATTTATGGTGTTCAATAGATTAATTTATTCAGCAAAGGTTTCTATGTTAACCAATTAAGTGATACTTTAACCATTCCAGCAGTTAAGTCAGAGATTTTGTCCTAATGACCTTCCTTTAGCTTTCATAGGGAATACCATACATTGACAATTAACCTGCTACAGCAATCCACATACTTACATCAACCACCTTTCGAAGGGAAAAGATTACTATTTTTAATAAATATCATTGATTAGGTAAAAACACACACCTGAGCCTGCCAGTGCCATTATCAGCCAAAGTAATATGCTTTCTTGCTTCTGACAACAAGCCAACAACGCTGTCACCTTTGTCAGGGTAAAGCATGAGCTCCTGGGTGGATGAGTGGAACAATAAACATGTCAAAAAATGTAACATAACTAGTATTTTTTTTCTATTCAGCTGCATATAGAACAAAAATGCAGTACATAGGACAACAATGCAGCAAACATGGCAACAATGCAGCAAACATGGCAACAATGCAGCATACATACATGCAATAATGCATAAACATTGACAGCTGGGAGAATACAGGATGCAGAGACATTGACAGCTGGGAGAATACAGGATGCAGAGACATTGACAGCTGGGAGAATACAGAATGCAGAGACATTGACAGCTGGGAGAATACAGGATGCAGAGACATTGACAGCTGCGAGAATACAGGATGCAGAGACATTGACAGCTGAGAGAATACAGGATGCAGAGACATTGACAGCTGGGAGAATACAGGATGCAGAGACATTGACAGCTGGGAGAATACAGGATGCAGAGACATTGACAGCTGGGAGAATACAGGATGCATAGACATTGACAGCTGAGAGAATACAGGATGCAGAGACATTGACAGCTGAGAGAATACAGGATGTAGAGACATTGACACCTGTGAGAATACAGGATGCAGAGACATTGACAGCTGGGAGAATACAGGATGCAGAGACATTGACAGCTGAGAGAATACGAATGAGACAGTTGTGTGGAAGACTCACCTCCTCTTTCAGTTTATGATTTACCCAGACACATTTAAATGGTTTTTTGTTTTCCAACTCATTTATACGAATACTCAGCTGAAAAATAAAAACATCACATTAGTACAGTGCTCTCGACAATGGTG